CCCTTCCCTCCTCACTCCCTCTCCATGCCGCTGATGGATGAATTCAGACAGCCAGACAGGCTCACAGCTGAGAGCCAGAGTACTGACGCATCACTGTACGGGGTGTCACTATCCGAGGCATCACTGTCTGGGCATCACTGTATGGGGCATCACTGTACGGGGCATCACTGTATAGGGTGTCACTGTACGGGGTGTCACTATACGGGGCATCACTGTATGGGGCCGTGGGATCCCTGCCGGGAACTGCTGGGGTCAGGGGTGATGCAGGTCCTCAGACCCCACAGGCAGAGACGTGGTCCCAGGAATCCAACCCCCACACCAGCCAGGGTTGGACAGGAGAGGCAAATGGCTTGACCCCTCAGGGTCACGGGGCTGACCTGTGACCAAGTCCCCTGGAGGCAAACATTGCATGCCCTCCCCACTCGATCCATCCAAATCCCAGGGGCTGCCCTTCTCGTTCAAACTTTGGCCCCAACATCGGGACGATTTGTGACCCCCCGAGATGACCCAGGCTCTCTCCTTCCTCCGTGTCCACTTCCACTTCTACCTGCTCTTCCCCGAGTTCCAGAAACCCTGTTTCCTCCAGATGCTGCCCAAGGCCAAGCTAGACATTGCCGAGAGGGGCTGTCTGTTCCCAGTCATCTTCCCTCCTCACGCTGCTTCCCCTGCTGGGCCTTGCTAGGCCTTGCTGGGCCCCCACTGTCTCTGGGAAGTCCCCAAGCAGGGACCTGCACTGTCTCCCTCCTGCTGGACTCAGGCCCCCACCCCTAGCACCCACCTCCCCGCTGTGGCTCTCCTCCCTGGCCAGCTTTTCTCTGCCTGAGCCAGAGCGACAGCCCTGGGCAGCCTGCTCCCCTCTCCCCAGGCTGCCTGCTGGGCCCCGGGTGGTGGCGGAGAGGGCTAGCTGGCCCCCGGTCCCTGCTGACAGTATGAAGCTTCTGTTCTTTGGCTCTTCCCAGCCATGGGTCCTCTGCTCCCACAGGGCCGAGCTCAGGAGGGCAGCCTAGTCTGGGGTCAGGAGAGGGATGCCAGCTTTTCTGGGCAGAGCTACTTTCAGCCCTTCCTCTGAGCCCCAAAAATCTCTAGTTCACAGTCCAGGAAACCTACTCCAATGTACCAACCTGCCATTGAACTTTTTTTTTTTTTTTTTTTTTGCCTTTTGGGTCACACCCGGCGATGCTCAGGGGTTACTCCTGGTTCTGTACTCAGGAATTACTCCTGGCTCGGGGGACCATGTGGGGTGCTGGGGATTGAACTTGGGTCGACCGTGTGTGTGCAAGGCAAATGCCCTACCCTCTGTACATTGCTCCAGTCCTGGAACTAGAATTATTTTTTGCTGCAAATATTTGACAAGAGTTTTAGAAACTGCCCTTTCAAAATTCTAATTACTTCAGGAAAACAAAACAAAACAAAACCCAAAACCAAGAAAATTAGAATGACTCAGCATTAATGGATGATGTTTTTAAACCAATCACCTCCCTAATGAAAGAAGAAATAAATATCGATTTTTCCCTAAACATAAAGAAATATATATTCATAAAGACCCTGCTACAAGTTCTGCCTCAGTCCTCTAAAAATCTCATGGTTAGGTGTGCTGTGGGGGACTCTTGTTCTAATATTTAGTCTTTGACCCCTGTTCCTGGCACAAAACACTCTAGCCCTTTGCAATTTCGTAAACTCCCAGCATCTGACAGTAAGCTCCTAAATCTAAATCCCTAGTATTTCCTGGGTGATCGGAGATAACAGCTTGCTTATCTGCCTGTTTATGGTGCTGGGGGGCCAAGGGCCACCCCCCACTGCTTCTCCTGCAGTCAGGCCAGATGGCTCCCAGGACCAGCCCGAACCGAGCTCTGGGGATGCCAGCATACATGCACCCTAACTCCTGTGCCATCCCCAACCCGGACAGGGTGACTGTGGTGTAATGGAGGCACAGGAGTGGGCGCCATGATTAGAAGCTGTCACTCTCGAGCCTTGCCCGTTCTCCAAAGAGGGCAGAGTGGAGGGAGCAGCTGATGACTGAGGCCCTCACCCCACCCCTGTTCACAGTTCTAGGAGGGTCCAGATTGGTCAATGCTCCTTTCATGGGGCTCAGGTGTCTGCTCAGGTATGGATTCATTGTTAATCTATGTGCATGAATGAATGAATGCATGTAAACGTCCCTAGCGTCTGGGAGGTGTTCTAGCGAGGGATCAGATGCCAGGAGGGAACAGGCAGGGCTGCTTCTCGTTCGTGTTCTGACTAGAAGTGTGGGGCAACCTGGGAACCACTTGGATTGATGTCTGAAGTTGGGGGGCGGGGTAGTGAGGCCTATGGGGCCAGAGACAGTCTCCAACGGGATTCTGTCTGAATTGAGCTGACTCGTAGGAGGCCGGCCTGATTTCCAAGAGAAGTGGTCACCCCACAGATCTGCTTGCTCACAGAAGAACTGGGGTGAGGAAAAGGGAACTTTCTCTCTACACTCCCGCACATGGGGAAAAAGAATGTCCAGGGCATGGTGGCAGGCCAGGGTGGCACGTGCCTGAGTTGTCAAGGACATTGAATGTCATAGGATCGGGCTTTTATAGAATATTTTATTTCTCTCTTTCTCCTTCCTTCCTTCCTTCCTTCCTTCCTTCCTTCCTTCCTTCCTTCCTTCCTTCCCTCCTTCCTCCCTTTCCTTTCATCTTCCCTCCCTCCCTCCCTCCCTCCCTCCCTCTCTCTTTTTTTCTTTCTTCCTCTCTTTATTTGGGCCCACACCTGGTGGTTCTCAGAGGTTACTCCTGGTTTTGCACTCAGGAATCACTATTGGATGTGCTTGAGGGACCATATGGGATTCCAAGAATTGAACCTGGGTCAGCTGTGTGCAAGGTAAATGCTCTACCTATTGTACTATCACTCCGGCCCCAAGTTTTTATGGAATATTTTCTACTGGGTCATTTTCCTTTGTATTTAGGAGCAAATACAGATATTGTGGCTCAGGCCTCGGGTTTGTGGGTCCCTGAGACACTTGGAGCCCCCCTGCCTGGAGTCATTTTTTCTGTTCAGTGTAGTGGTCCTGGTCTGTCCCAGCACCTGCTGGGCCTCAGTCCTCCTCCGAGGAGCCTCCTGTCCCACTAGGAAGTGGGGGCTAGGAAGGGGCCAGAGAGACATCTTAATGGGTTGAGTCCATGCTGTGCATGTGGAAGGTTTGGGTTTGATCCCCAGTACTGCGCTGTCCCCGAGCACTGCCGAGAAGTCCCTGAGCACTGCCAGCTATGGTCCCAATCAGCCCCCCATCAAGGAAAAGCTAGCCCTAAGCACCTGGACAATTGCTCCTTACCAGGAAGTCCTTGTGCCGATGCGAGTCTCTGCAGACTCAGAGCAGCAGTGCCCCGCATGCCACTGGCTCCAGGACACTCTGTACTCCCCCATCCCCCTATGGCCGCTGAGAAAGCCCCATTCATTTCTTAGTTTTGTTTCTGGCCAACATCCAGTGGTGCTCAGGGCTCACTCATCATTCTGCACTCAGGCATCACTCCTGGCAGTGCTTAAGGGGCCATACTAGGTTCCGGGGATTGAACCGGGGTCGGCCACGTGCATGGTAAGTGCCCTATCCTCTTGCTGTACTATGACTCCAACCCCAGGCCACATCCATTTCTATAGCTGACAGCTTTGCCCAAGCTCTTTCCACGCCTGGAATGTTCCTCCTGCTCCTGTACATATTTCCAGCCCAGATCTCTTCTCTTTTTTTTTTTTAATTTTTTTTTTGTAGGAGTACTGCTATTTATTCAGCCACTGATTAGCTGATTGAATTGTGCATAAACTCCACCTTACTTTTTTTTTCTTTTTCCATTTTTTTATAATTTTATTTATTGAATCACCGTGAGAGCAGTTACAAAGCTTTTGGGTCTAAGTCTCAGTCATACAATGAAACACCCGTACCTTCACCAGTGCCCATTCTCCACCACCAAAAATCCCAGTATACCCCCATCCCACACCCTCCCCCTGCCTGTGGGGCAGATGATCTCCACATTACTCTCTCTCTCTCTCTACTTTGATCACATTCAATATTTCGACACCAGGCCCACCATTATTATTTGAGATTTACCCCAACACTCAGATATGCTGAAAAGGCAGCAATAGACAATTTGTGTTCTATTGCTGGTTATGAATAACATATGATGTCGTGTGGCTACAGTAGGGCCATGTGGTTTTGAAATTCCGAAATTTTAACACTTAAATCTGGAGGGATTTCTGCCAAAAGCCGCTGGGTTTAGAGATCTGCTCCTGAGTCTCTGGGATCATGGCCGTTGAGCAGCTTGATGAGGAGCCAAAGAGGCCATTCACGGGCGATGACTTGGGGTCTCATTGGGGTGGGGAAGACAGGCCCGGCTCCACCTCCCCCCCATCCCGTGAGACCCAACAAGTTTCGTCACTGTGGGCCCAAGCCCGACTGTCCAATGGCCTCTGGAGGATGACAGCCACCAAGTCGCCAGAGAGGCTCCTCATCAAGCTGCTCAATGGCCTTGATCCCAGAGACTCAGAAACAAATCTCGAAACCCAGAGGCTTTTGTCAGAAATGTGTCCGGACCCCGCAGTAGGTTACTGTCGCCGGGCCACCCCAGGGGGAATGGGTGCTGTCCCTCCGCCTGCTCCCTCTTGGCGACTTGGTGGCTGTCATCCTCCAGAGGCCATTGGACAGTCAGGCTTGGGCCCGCAGTGACAAAACTTGTTGGGTCTCACGGGATAGGGGGGAGATGGAGCCGGGCCTGTCCTCCCCACCCTAACAAGACCCCAAGTCATCGCCCACAGATCTCTTCTCTTGACGTCAATCCGACAGTCCCTCCTGCCTGCTCCCGTCCTCCCAGTTTCCACCAGGGCTATAGCACGCCTACAGCTACAGCCTTCACGGTGAAGCATGGGGGTTGCACCCCATCTCCCACTAGGATGAACAGCCTGCTCCAGCAGGCTCGGGGAACCCTGCACTGCCCTGGCTGGCTCTGGAGCGGGGGCCTGGCACACAGTGGGTCCAGGGGTCTTACATTGTTAGATGGTGAGGCGGCCACTGCCAAGCCCCGGCGCCGGAAGCGGAGCTCATGCTTCTCCTTGGGCATCTCCCTGGGGAAGAAGAAGTAGGGGGTGGCAGCCAGGGCCACTGCACTGGCAGCGATGAGGAAGCCCAGCCACCAGGCACCCACCCATCGGGGGTCCTTCGAAGTCAGGCTGATCCCACCTAGAAGAGAAGACGATGGGCACATGAGGGGCAGGATGGGCTGTGGGTCCTCAGCCACCATCACAGGACAGGTTCTGACATAGGAGATGGTCTGGGCCAGTACACAGGGTACTGGTGTGGCCTTGTAGCCTATGAGACCCTTGTGACCTAATGCAAGTGTCTGAACCTTTCCTGATTTATTTTTTCTCCCCCCACCTCTCTCTCTCTCTCTCTCTCTCTCTCTCTCTCTGTCTCTCTCTCTCTCTCTCTCTCTGTCTCTGTCTTTCTCTTTGGGCCTTGCTGGGGTTGCTTAGGGTTTACTCCTGGCTCTGTACTCTGGAAGTCACTCCTGGTGGAGCTCACGGGACCATATGGGATACTGGGGATTGAACCCCAATTGGCCGTGTATAAAACAAGTGCCTTACCCGCTGTATTATCTCTCTGGCCCCTCTCCTTTTTCTTTCTATCTTCCCACACCTGGTGGTGCTCAAGGCTTCCTCCAGGTTCTGTGTTCAGGAGTCAATCCTGGCGGTGCTGGGGATTCAGCGGGGCTTGGCGCATACCAGGCAGGTGCCTTAAAGCCTGGGCTATCTTTCTGGCCTTTATGTTTTCTCAAGTACTTTTTTTTTTTTTTTGCTTTTTGGGTCACACCCGGCAATGCACAGGGGTTACTCCTGGCTCTGAACTCAGGAATTACTCCTGGCGGTGCTCGGGGGACCATATGGGATGCTGGGAATCGAACCTGGGTCAGCCGCGTGTAAGGCAAACACCCTACCCGCTGTGCTATTGTTCCAGCCCGTTTTCTCAACTACTAAAAGCAATATGTGTAGTGGCCAAGGTCACAGAATTGGCGGGGTCTGAATTTCCTTCCTACCCAAGACTTGGGTAAGTCGCTTAACCTCTGTGTCTCAGCTTCTTCCTCTATAACATACAGAAAGTGGCACCTCATCCGTAGGGTCAAGGAGAACATTCTAGAAATGAACACAGGCAGAACAGCCAGACCTAGCTCAGCAGGCTTCTGCCTTTCTTCCCATCACTGTGACTGTCGTATTGTGATATGTCGTATCATCGATGTGAGCTTCAGCTCACCCTGGCTGCCACCCACATCAGGGACCTGATTGGTGTCTTTGACCCTGGCCCCAGACTCTGAGGAGGCCAGAAGCAGCATGTCTCATATCAGCTGGGTCTGACTCCTCCTAGTCACAGGGAGCTGGTGGTGCCCTTCCCACGAAGAACCTAACAGGGCCCCGGGAGACAGGGAGAGAGCAACAAAAAGCTAGTTTCTCCCGTCACTTCACGGGAACAGCTGTGGAAGGCCAGCAGGACTGAGGATGGCCGAGACCCAGAGAGGCTAAGAGGCCTGTCCTCGAGGCCAGGATGATAGCATAGTGGGGAGGGCGCTTGCCTTGCATGCGGCTGACCTGAGTTCGACCCCCGGCATTCCATATGGTCCCTTCAGCACCACCAGGAGTAATTCCTGAGCACAGAACCAGGAGTAACCCCTGAGCATCGCTGGGTATGCCCCCCACTGCCAAATAAAAGAGGCCTGTCCAGGGTCTGGGGTTACTGCCTTTGCTTCAGGCCGGTAAATGTCAGAGGGTGCGGGGACAGCTGTGTGTCTCGAGGCTCACCTGGTGGCATGCGGTCAATGTCCACGTAGAGACGCAGCATGAGGCCTCCCAGCCCGTAGGCCAGGCCAGGCCCCATCATGGTGATCGCAAACAGCACTCCTGCAATGGGGAGCTTGGTCACATCTCTGCAGTCCACTTCCCTCTGCCAGTTGGTGCCCCAACTTCCCACAACCCGGTCCACCTGCCTGGACCTGGGAGGTGGCCCAGAGTCCTCCCAAGCTTTCCTGCCCATGCAGGGCAGAGAACAGAGACTCAGGCCCCTTGCCCCCGTTGCCCCAGGGCCTCCCGTTCAGCTGCCCAAGGGGCGGCCCATCCTCACCCAGGTAGAGGGGCGAGTTGCTCTGGTGGGCAAAGTCATCGATGTAGGAGATGCCGAAGGGCTGGATGGGCACTCCGCCCACGCCCAGCAGGGTCTGCGCCACGAACATGATGGCCACGACTGTCAGGTGCTTCGTCTCAGCGCGGCTGGAGCAGCTGCTGTTGGAGGGGGTGGACGCAAAGGCGGGCCCCGTGGTGGTGGGCACACACAGGGAGTCCTCCGCGTCCTGCAGTGCGCTCTCTGAGAAGAAAAGCAGACGTGCACTGCTGACAAGGCTGGGGCTCTGCATGTCTGCGTTCTTATTGGACAAAGAGTGCAGTGGAGGATGCTCTTGCCATGCATGTGGCTGAGCTGGGTTCTACCCCTGAGTCCCTCCAGGAGTTATTCCTGAGTCAGGGTCCAGCCCTGAGTACTGCTGAATGTGGCACCCCCAGTTTTTATTGAGGGGCTCACGCCAGTGGTGCTCAGAGTTTACTCCCAGCTCTGTATTTGGGGGACTGTGAGTTGCTGGCGATCCAAGCTGGTCCTCTATAGGCACTGCCCCATGACTCAGTGCTCCCTCAATGTGTGGCTGCAGGTGCTTTGCCAAGGTTGGTGTAACTAAGAGTTTGATGACTCCTCTCCCCATCTCCCCCAAGAACTTAGGGCCTGGGTGCTCTCAGCCCCCCTTTCACTGATGCAGAAGCTGATGCTCAGACTGACAAGGGTACGATCGGGATGGGAACTGGCAGGGTAGCTTCCAGGCCATGCTCTGAAAGCCCCCAAGTATCCTGCTGAGTGGAGGCATGGGGAATAGTTGAGGGGTTCCAGGGGGTCGGGTGTCACAAGAGGTAGAGTCTAGACTGGGCCAAGAAGAATAAACAAGATTTCCCAGAGGGAGAGTGAGGAGGCAGTTCCAGAGAGAGGACCCAGCACATACAAAGTGAGGGACCTGAGGGTTCTGCTCAGCGGCATCACAGGCCAGGCTGAGGGCTGAGCCGGACAGAAAGGACAGTGGCAGCTGGATTAGGGAGGGATGAACCTTTGTTTTGGTGTTGCTCAGGGCACAAAGGCAGAGAGCAGTTAAGAAGTGTGTGTGTGTGTGTGTGTGTGTGTGGTGTGTGGTGTATGTGTGTGTGGTGTGTATGGTGTGTGTGGTGGTGGTGGTAGTGGTGGTGGTGGGGTATGTGTGTGTGCGTGTGCGTGTGCGTGTGTGTGTGTGTGTGTGTGTGTGTGTGTGGTTTCTACATTTAGTTCCAGATGCTTATTCCCTGAAAGTCACAAATATTTGGTGAGCAAATTCTAGGAACTCTTAATCCTATCATTATCATCCCAAATATAGTTGTTGAAGAGGCTGACCCTTTCCTGGAGACCTGACTATGAACTGCGTCCTCCCAGAGCTGACTGCCTAGAAAATTCCACAGGACCTAGGTCAAGGCCCAGACCTGGCTCCCATACTACCTGGACTGACAGCCTTGATAATGACAACGGCCACTGAGAAAGGAAGTTCTATAGGATGTGGGATAGGTCAGTTGTTCTGAACCAGGGCCCTGGGCAGGGCATGGCACCAAGATCTTGGGCAGAGGCTTCCTTCTCTGGGCCTCAATTTCTTTGCTCCTCTAAGGGGGTCACGATGCATTTGCCTTGCTGACTGGTCAACGTGAGGGTGTGAGAGATGCTCCCAAAGTGTACCACTAGTGGATGGATAGACAGATAGGTGGATGAATGGGTGGGGGGGTGGATGGATGAATGAATAGATGGGTGGGTGGATGATGGGTGGGTGATGGGTGGAGAGAGATGGACAGATGAGTGGTTGTGAGATGGTGGAGAGGCAGTTAAGTAGGTGGATGGGTAGGTGAATGGGGTTTGGAAGAGAGAAGAAATAAAGGGAATAGTCAGGCTGGTTGGGTCAACAAAATCCCAATGAGATAGACAGGGTCTTCACAATTCTTTCATTATTTTGATTTGTTCATCCACACATTCATTCTTTCTTTCACCAGTATCTTTTATTAACGGCATGACACACACAGTGCTTAGAACAGGGTCTGGCACATGGGAAGTGGTGTGTGACACTTTTATTAGAACTCCACAAATATTCCCAGAAGATCTACTCCATTTAAGACCCTACAGTAGGCTGGATGTCATTTAAAACCCAGCGACAGGGACCAGAGCAATAGTACAGTGGGTTGGATGCTGATCTTGCACACGGCCAACCTGGGTTTGATCCCTGGCACCCTACATGGTCCCCTGAGCCCAGCAGAAATGATCCCTGAGAACAGAGCCCTGAAACCACCAGGTGTGGCCCCCAAAACAAATGAAACGAAACAAAATGAAACTAAGAAACAAAACCAAAGCAAAACAAATAAAAATACAGCCACATACAAGCAGACCCTCAACCAGTGAGACCCCGTGGGGCTCCCTCCTCTGCCTCAGACGGCCCTGTACCCCACCCCCCATGACCCCCGGGTCTGAAGGAAGGGTGTAGTGAGACTGGGAGGAAGAGCAGGTGATGTGGGGAACTTGTCCCATCCTGGCCAATGAAACCTGGGGCTCCCACCCTGCCCTCCCCTCCCCCCCCACCCCCACGCACAGCGTGTCTCCTGTACTTACCGGGGCTGGCGCCCTCATAGCGGTAGGGATCTGAGATGAAGTGGGGCAGACTCATGAGCAAGCCTGCTAGGGCTACCAGGATAGCCCCACAGCCAATGAATCGGGGCCGATGGACCCGGCTGCCGAAGTAGCTCACAAAGACGATCAGGGTGGTGTTCCCCACCTGCGAAGGAACACGGAAACCCGTTAGAGGGGCGTCAGGCTGGGGCCGCCTCGGTCTTTCCCCTGCTCCAACCTCAGCGTTCCCACCTGTGTAATGAACCGACCTTCTACAGAAAACTCACCCAGGTTCCTTTCTTAAATACAGACCCCAAGAGATAGCAAAGGGACCCCCACTGCAGCAGGGCAGAGGGGAGGGCAGAGTTGATGGGTCTAGAAGTTCCTTCGGATGTGGGTTGGACCCCATGTGAGGACACGGAGAGGGACCTTCTGAGACCCCAAGTGTGAGTGAAACTAAGTTCTAAAGCAAGAGGACCAAGGCTTGGACCTTTAACTTTATTTTGTTTGTTTGTTTTTAAGTCATGCTTGCTGGTGCTTTGGGGGCGACTCCTGGCTTGGTTGTTCAGGGGACCGTGTGATATGGGCTGGGAATCAAACCCGCAAAGCAAGTGCTCAGTGCCTAAACCCCAAGGCTTGGAATTTTGAGCCTTCAAATTAAAAAAGCCTTTGAAGGGGTCGGAGGATAGTACAGCAGGTAAGGCCCTTGCCTTGCCTGTGGCTGACCTGGGTTCGATCCACAGCATCCCCTATGGTACCCAGACCTCTGTCAGGAGTGAGCCCTGAGTGTGGAGGCAAGAATAAGCCCCGAGAGATGCTGGGCGTGGCCCCCAAACCAACAAAACAAAATGCTCCAGGAATGGGTGCTAGGGTGACTTTTGAACTTGTGGACCCTGGGACGGCAGCTACCATATGCACAGGCACCCTGCTGCTCTGGAGTGGCCACACCCTAGCTGGCCAGTGTTCTCTGCACAGGGGTGGGGTGGCGTGGGGCCCTTGAGGGAAGGACAGTCCTAGCTAGGGCCCAGATCCCAGGGGCACAGCTGCCCTGCGGTCCCAGAGCTGGGTCACAGAACTCCTTTTCCACCCCCTGACATTTAGACAGTGTGTTTCAGGGCCAGGACAGTCTGGAAGGGGCTGTTGAGGAGAGGAGAGCTGCAATGGGGTCACGTGTACCTCGTTGAAGGAGGCCAGCAGCCCCGAGATCTGACTGGAGAGGCCGAAGCGCTTCTCCACGGTGGAGATGGAGCTCTTGAGGTAGCCGGAGATCATGAGCTGGGCCAGCTGCAGCAGGCTGTGGCACAGCAGGAAGAACTGCAGGGGTGTGAGTAGGGAGCAGGGCAGGAGACGGGATGGGGAGAGAGGGGGGAGGGGGGGGAGGGAGAGGGGGGCAGAGAGAGGAAGGGCAGAAGAAGAGAGATGGAGAGAGAGGGAGGGAGGGAAACGGGGGGAGAGAAAGAGAGAGAGAGAAAGGGAGAGATAGAGGGAGAGAGAGAGAGTCATTGACTAGCCAACAACTTTGCACACTGCTAAGAACCAGAGAGCTGCTTTGGGTACCCTTAGGGCCCCGAGACCTGCTTGACGGTCAGGGGGGTTGTCTTCCCAGGCCAAGCCAGGCCAGGGGCATCTAGGACCCACCCTGGCCTGCAGAGTCAGGGTGTCTGCAGCGGGTCAGGACAGTGGCCCTGTCCTGGGAGATGGCCATGGGCACAGCCCCCTGCAACAGCAACTACAGGGCGCCTGAGGAGGCAGGGGTGGTAGGAGCATCCCTTGGTAGAGCCGAGGTCAGGGTTCATAGGTCATGGGAGCACGAAGATGGCCCCTCGTGGCCCCGAGCAGACCCCCTTCCCAGGGAGGGAGAGAGCGTGACCTGGGCACTTGCCCTGAGAGCTGGGGGGACTCAGAGCGGGGGAGCTACCCTCCCAGCCACAGCCCCTGTCACTTCCCAGCAGACTCAGAGCCCAGCCCGCTCTCCTTAGCCCGCCTGCTCTAGCCTCAGTGGTACCTTGATGTTGTGGAAAAGACTTGGCCGCTTGTCCTGCGGCTCAGGGTTGGCCCCGTGTCCAGTCGTGTCTTCCGCCCCCAGTGCGGCCTTGGCATCGTGGTCTGGCATCTGGGGCTCCTCACCCACTGACCCTGCAGGGTGGACAGCAGGGTGAGGGGTGAGGAAGCCCACTAAGGGCCTGGGAGGAGGCTGAGTGGCCTGGAGTCGGCTCCCCTGCCTTTCACAGTCACTGTCATGGTCACAGCCATGGTCACAGCCATAGTCACTCTGTTCCTATCATGTACTGCGGCAGCTGCTGGCCCTTTCACACCGACCTGGAACAGCTGACTGCCCCCCTCCAGGGCCTTCGTCTGCCACATGAAGGAGCAGGGCTGAGACTGACTTGACTTGTCCTGGGTGCAGGGTCAAGGCTTGGGCCGTAGCCAACCCGAGGACATCGCCGCTTGTCGTCCTCATGCCAACCAGCCTAAGCCCCCCAACGTGCCACAAAACAGCCCCAAACCAGGTTGCCAGTGGGTTCAAAAAGGGCCAGCAGCACTGGGTTACCCCTTCTATTTTTTTTTAAATAGTTACAAGCTTTCATGTTTGAGTTACAATTACACAATGATTAAACACCCATCCCTCCACCAGTGCACATTCCCGACCACCAATCTCCCCAGTATACCCCCACCTTTCCCACCCTCCCACTGCCTCCATGGCAGGCAATATTCCCCATACTCTCTCTCTCTACTTTTGGGTGTTATGGTTTGCAATGCAGATACTGAGAGGTTATCATTTTTGGTCCTTTATCGACTTTCGGCCCACATCTCCCATCCTTATTTTTTTTTTTTTGAGTTTTGTTAAAAACACTGTGATTTACAAACATTAGACAGTTTCAAACATTTAGTGTTCCAACACCACCAGTGTGACATTCCCTCCACCAATATCCCCAATTTCCCTTCCAATCCTAACCTGGCCCCTTTTAGTTACCCCATTTTAATGCCCACTTCTGGGACAATCGGGACCTGAGACCCACGCAGGGTGTTGCTGACTTGTGGGGCAGAGTTTTTGCAGGACCTGGATTGTCCTCTGGCCCGGGCAGTGAGAGGTTAGCAGGCCCGCTCAGAGGCATGTCCCATTCTTCTCTGATGTTTAATCTCAGTGGGGAGCCCGGAAGTCTGGCATGGGGAAAACAAGGCCCCTCCCCTTGAGAGGGAAACCACCTGAGTGTCCCAGCAGCCAAGCTCCCAGCCTTCCTGGCCTCCTGGAGCCCCACTTCCTGCGGAAGTCTCCCCCATTGTCTTGTGCACCTCTCAAGTCTGCTTGGAGTTTCCCCCCATTCAATGGGCTCCTGGAACCTGAACACTGTTTTCGGGGTTCCTCTGACCCCGAACGACTCCAACTCCACCTCAGGACTGGAAGGCAAATGCCGAGAACTGTGGCTGAACCCGAAACTCACACAAGGGAACTCACACAGCTTCTTAAGCTGGGTGTCCCGGAGGCCAAGGAATTCTTAAACTCTGGATCGCTGTATCACTGTCATCCCGTTGATCATCGAATTACTCGAGTGGCCGCCAATAACGTCTCTATTCCTCCCAGCCCTGAGATTTCAACAGCCTCTTCTTACTCGTCTTTTCCCAACGACTGGAGGCTCTTTCAGGGTCAGGGGAATGAGACCTATTGTTGTTACTATATTTGGCGTATCGAATACGCCACGGGGAGCTTGCCAGGCTCTGCCCATGCGGGCAGGATACTCTCACTAGCTTGCTGGGTTCTCCAAGAGGCATAAATGGGTAGGAAGTGTCTTATAATGTGTCCTGGAAACATTATAAAAAAGAGTTATAAAAAACATTATAAGAATTCTGGATATATAAATTCTGGATACATTTCACCAAATTCACTCTTTGGAGGGCTACAATTCAATGTGCGTGCGAATGTGTGTGTGTGTGTGTGTGTGTGTGTGTGTGTGTGTGTGTGTGTGTTGTACCTCCCCTCACCATGATTTAATTCTACAACATTTTTTTTTTAACCCCCATAAGAAACCCCATCGGCATTGCAGTCCCTTCCATTCTGCCCCTGCCCCGATCCTGGTAACCCCCTCATCAACTTTCGGGCTCTCTGGCTCTGCCTTTGCTGGAAGGAGACAGTCACGGGGAAAGGGGGTGGGGGGAAGCTTGGCAGCACATTTCCCAGAGCCATTAACACCCAGAGATGTTTGGAGAGACAAGATCTGTTCTGAAAGGAATCAGCCTGCTGCCAGCTCAGGATGAAGGCTGCATTTGCCTGGAGATGGACAGCCACGATGCCCTGATAAGACTGAGGAAGGGAAGAAATCTCCGCGGCCAACAGCCCTGTTCCTCCAGGCTCACCAGCAGTGACCCTTAGCTTCAGGAAAGGCAGCCTGGGAGGAAAGCCTGTATAATCAGTTTCCTAAAGCCGTTGGCAGCTTTCTTTGAAGGATGCAACGACATTTCTTTTACGTTCGGGGCTCAGCTCTCCTCTCTGGAGAAGCCCACGCTCTCCTTGGAATGAGTAAATAAAGTGTGTCTTCATAAAACGATATTGCTTCTGTCTCTGTCTTCTCTCCTAAAATTCATTTCTGCAATGAAGGACGAGAACGGAGGACCCAGATGGAGTTGGGGCTGACTTCTCCCTTCCCTGCAGAGAACATAACCTTGCCTCAGTCTGAAAGCCTCCATTGCCTAAACCTGGGCGATAGGAACCAGGTGCCATGCTGGGTAGACCAGGCGGGCCTCAGGTGCAGCCTGACAGCTGCGTTGGCGAGACGGGCAGGATGTGAGTGCCCACGCTGTGCAGGAATTCTTGCGACATTATCAGTCCTGACCTCTCCAGGCATGGCCCCAAGGGCAGAATCTATATTTCTATATAAATTCTTGACAGGAATTCTATAGTATGTGGTCTTTTGCATATGGCTTCTTTCTTTTTTTGTGGGGAGGGGCATAGTTATTGGGTCACATCCAGGGATGCTCAGGGGTCAGGGGTTATTCCTGGCTCTGCACTCAGGAATTTCTCCAAGTGGTGCTCAGAGGACCATATGGGATGTGGGTGTTTGAATCTGCGTCATTCATGTGCAAGGCAAATGCCCGACCCGCTGTACTATTGCTCCTGCCCCCGTATCTGGCTTCTTTCATAGGCATAATTGTGGTTATTATGGGCATATGTGTGGTTCTGGGGTTTGAACCCAGGGCTTCATATATGCAAGACAAGTTCTCTACCACTGAACTGCCTCCCTGGCTCCTAGCATAATATCGGTAAGTTAGTACATGTAGTCTCAGTTAGTAGAACAGTAGAAGTTCATTTATTTTTATGGATGAATATATAAATGTCTACTATATAAATGTCTAGATGGATTGTATTTTGTTAGTTGGTGTGCATTGGCGTTGTTTATGGCATCATGAACTTTCATTCATGTATGAATTTCTGTGCCCCCAGTTCTCTTGTGTGTAGAGCCAATATTTGTTACTTTTTAGGTAGCTGCAAAACTGTTTTCCAAAGTTACTATACCTCTTGGGGGCTGGAGCGGGGGATGGGAGGCGGGGTTCGGTCTCCCAAGCAGAGCACTGCTTTGTACACCTGCCAGCGATGTATCCTGGTTCCAGTTTCTCCACATTTTTTTTGCTGACACTGTCTTTTGATTATAGCCATCCCAGAGGGCAAAAGGATGCTTTCCTGTGGTTTTTGACTTTCCTTTCCCTAATGACTAATGATGTTGAGCATGTTCCCATGTTCTTATTGGTCATTTGTATATCTTATTTGGGGGGGAAAAACCTGTTCAAATAACCAAAGGTATTTAAGGAAATGGAAGTGCGTATGACTGGGGACAAGTCCCCTGGGCGAGGTCGGGGGCATAAACACTCAGAGGAAACCAGGAGAGTTTGAAACAAAAGTGACACCTGACAGGGAGAGATAAGGGGTGCAGAGTTGGGGTGTGTGTGTAACTCTATGGAGGTCACTTTGAAGAAGAGGAGACGAAGGAGTTCAAAGTGACTGGCCCACCCGAGACTGCTGGGCTCCCCCTGAGCCCTGGCGTCTTCACAGCTGAGGTCCGTCACGTACTTGCCACCTCCACCTCTGAGCTTACATGTGACGCCTCTCCACAGCTCCGTGCCTCATTACTGTGCCCGATGGGACACCTCGGCTAAGAGGAACCGGGTCTCCTGGCTAACATTGCTGCAGGGATTCAAGCCCGAACATCAACCTTCACATTACTCCATGCTCCCGCACTGCTCTGACAGAGGGAAGAGCATCGTCCCCAGAACCTGCCGTGCTAGTGGAAGCAACAGTGTCTGTGCCCCCATGATGGGACTCCATTCTGGGCCTGGCAAGCCAGAATTCCCTGACCAGCTTTGGGAGAAATCCAGGGATTGGGTGAGGGAGAGGGGCAGGAAGGCCAGTGAACCGAGACTCAGAAGCTCCTGCCGACTCAGGACCCAGTCTGCTGGGGGGCAGGTTCAACTTGAACCCCAGGCCAGATCCTGGGCACCCCTTGGAGTTCCCCCTGCCTCTGCTGTAGTTCCCCTTGCCTCTCCTCTCCCTTGTCCCAGTGTGGCCCCTGCAGCCTGACCTCTAGCCTCGTGTTTCCCTGAGGGGTGGGGGGGGGGGCACTGAAGCGACCCAGAGGGGCAGTAGTAGCCTTGGGTGCCTCTGGGGATGCTTCCTGTCTGTTCACTCCAAGAAGGTAGATTTCCTGGGTGCGCTTGGGAAGCTCTGTCCTAGGCCTTCCTGAAGTTTCCATCTCAGCCTCCTCTCCCAAGGCTCTTCCTGGGATTTTTCCCAAGATCGATCTATCTATCTATCTATCTATCTATCTATCTATCTATCTATCTATCTATTTTTGGTTTCCAGGCCACAAACCTTGTTGATATTCGGGAATTACTCCTGGTGGGCTCTGGGGACCATACGGTATGCTAGGAGTCTGATTCTGTCTCTCTGGCCCATGTTTCGGGGGGGGGGTAGGGAGTGGGGTGGTGATGGAACCCAGGGTCTCACACAGCCCCTTCTCTCTCAAGACACAGCTCTGCTGGCCATCTGGGAGGGAGAAAGCCCGTGAAGGCTCTAGGTGGGAGAGGGAAGCACTGCCCCTGCCCGCCCCCAGCTCTGAGAGCCTCAGTGGGGCAATGCATGATGGGGG